AATGAAGTAGCAACGAAAATAATTTGATGGTTGGGGGGTCACCACAACACGAGGAACGGTATGAAAGGGTCGCAGCATTAGGAAGGTTGAGAACCACTGGTGTAGAAGCTGAGACTGGCCTACCAGGCACAGGACAGGTTTCCACAGCAGACTCTTCCAGCCCCAAACATCAGCAGTGCCACGGCTGAGAGACCTCGGTTGAGACCAGGGGTCGGCAAATTTTAGAGAAAGAAGAGTCCATCTTGTCTCCCACAACAATTTGAAAATTATTCAGGAGCCATAAATACATGTTTACAATCAAGTGAAATCACCATTATCTGAATAATATCCCTTTAAATTCTTCAATTTTACTTCAGAGCCACATGTACCTACGACTCATGAGCTAGAGTTTGCCGACCCCCTAGTCTAGACCAGAATAGTGCACTTCCTTCTCTTCCAAGGGCTCGTTTGCCTCAAGCGATTCGGTGCTTCTGTTCTGCTCACTACCTTCACAACTACGCAGAGTCATCCAGAACTTTGTCCTCGCGCAGGTGTGCTCATTATATCTCACCCATCACGCCCATGTCCCCCTGGAATTTTTTATATTATCACCTTCATAACGATCAGCATTATAAGAACAGTACAGCCTTATTTTATCCAAATCTGATAACTGAAAGAATAAAGGAAGCTTTAATTTCCCACCCCCACCCCTTTCTTTTTAGGTACAGCCCTGAGTTTTCAATTCAAGAGAGAAATGATTGTGAGATATGTTTTCATTAAGGGAAGACACGGAAATGAATCCATATTGCTAGACTAGTGTTGCCCTTGTGGATCCCAGTGTCTCCAAAAAACACCCAAATTCACTGCCATCAAGTCCAATCTAATGCATAGCAGCTCTGTAGGACAGCACAGCCCTGCCCCTGTGTGTTTCTGGGGATGTAACTCTTTCTGGGAGTAGGAAGCCTCATCTTTCTCTCTCAGAGCAGCCGGTGGTTTCAAACTGCTGACTTTGTGGCTAGCAGCCCAACGTGGACCCCCAATGCATGGGGATTCTGTTCAATGCCTCAAAACACAAACCAAACTCGCTGCCGTCAAGTCAAGCTGACTTAAGCAAACCCGTGAACTGCTTAACAGATTAGACAGCCGGGTCTTTCTCCCTCGGAGCTGCTGGTGGTTTCAAACTGTCAACCATGTAGATCGCAGTCTAACATGTCCACATGATGCCACTGCGGCTCCCTTTCAATGCCCCAGAGCCTAATAAAATGATATCCTTTGAAACTTGGTAGTCCTGTGTAAGGGACTGGGGCCCTGACTAGGCATTCTGGATTATAAAAATTCCCTGAAGAGTCACCACTGGAGCCAATGCATGTCATAAACAGGTTCTCACAAATGACCACTAAAGCCACCTCAAACTCCTAAGCCCCAATTCTTGATTCTTGGTAGGAACCCAAATGTCAAAGTCCAAGATTAGCACATCTCTTGGGGAGGAAAGGAGATACAGCGCTCCTAACGTGTACATGCCATACGAGGCAAACTCGGTTCAACTGCCATCAATCGGCCCGATCTCCTGGCCTCCTTTCATAAAGGACAAAGCATGGTCTCACCCTGTGCCACCTTCACAATGGCTGGTGCGTGTGTTTGAGTCCGGCTTGTGCCCGCACTGTGTTTTGGGGGCCTTCCAACCTAGGGGTGAGGCGAGGGTGGGGAGGGGAGCTCACTCTCCAGCACGCTGTCACTGTGTGATCGATAGTTTTCTTTTTTTTTGATCCATAGTTTTCGATGGCTCGTCTTCGTAAGTATATTGTCAGGCTTTCTGTCCTAGTCTGAAGCAGCACTGAAACTTACCCATCACCAGCGCCCTGCTGTACTTGACATACAATTGACAAAGCTTCTTCCAGCATCACAACATCGCCGCACTGCAGCAAACTGACAGTGGCTACACAGGGCAGGGATGTGATGAGACTTGTGAACTGCTTTGTAAGCATCAGGGTTCAATTGCCCCAATCTGTGAACAACTGGGGACAACCCCCTGAGAGTTCCTTCCAGAAGAAAGGTCATCCAAGGTCCCCAGTTACTTAAGGAAGGTATTTAAGAAGACAAGGACTGAAATAAAAGATCCAAATTGAACACAGACAGAATCATAACCACGGGACACCCATTAATCGAACACCTGTTGCCAATCATTTGACCCTTTATTCCCATGTCCGACGTTCACAATAATCCAATCGCACAGACCAGTGCTTACACGGTGGGCTGCTAGCTACAAGCCCAAGGCCAGCAGCTCCAAACTACCAGCCGAGTGCAGGAGAAAGACAAGGGTCTCTACTCCCATGGAGTCACAGTCTTAGAAACCCACAGGCGCAGTTCCCTCTTGTCCAACTGGGTCGCTGAGATAGAATGGATTCGAGGGCAGTGAATGTGGAGTTGGACACAATGCCAAAGGGAGCCGGTGGGGGGTGGGGGGGCACCACCTGGCCAGGTCACTTTCTAAGGTCACACGCCTACCAAGTGGTCAGTCTCAGTCTGCAGAGGGAGCCCACGAGGCACAGGGTGCCTCCTTACTGGGAGGGCTCCACCCTCTCTTCCCTCCGAATGATTATTTATTTTCCTGCTCTTTTCCTGCGAAGGCATCAGAGACAATGGCGCCTATATTCCTAGTAGCAGGGGTTCAGGTTCACAGAAAGGAGTGTTTGGCCAAACTTCTGCAGCCTCCTGGGGGCTGGTGAGGGAGGGGGATAGCTGAAGGTTAAGACTAATTTCTATTGTAGCCCAGTGGCCTTCAGGTATGACTCAAAGTGGATTTTAGAGAAGGGGCCAGCCTGGAGAGATTGGAAAGGGAGAATTTTAGCCCTGATACAATGATGCCAAAAAGGGGGTACTCTCCTTTCTCCACATCATCTCTTCCATTTCATTCTGTGTGCCCCTGAGACTGCACGGGTGCCAAGGAAGGGGGGTGTGCTTCAGTAAGGAGCGCTGGAACAGGCTGCACAGGGCCTGCTTTCGCTCTGCCCCTGCAGCAAGGACCCTGGGCTCAGTGACCTTCCCCTCGACTGATCTTTGTTCCGGGTTACCTGTGTGCATGAAACACAGGTGACTCTTTCTGGTCCTTTTGTATGACAAGGAGCTAACAGCTTAAAGTCAGAGTCATGCATGTCTGTAGCTGAGCATTTCAACGTGGGTCAGGGGAAGTACTGGTCATCTTAGATGACATGTTGTACGTGTGTGTGACATTTACTGCTACACTGCTCGCAGCTGACCTTTTAACCCCCAAAACTCAGGTTAAGGTGGATTAAGGGTGAGGTCCAGATGAAAATGAGAAGGAAAAGTACTAACCATTTGGCTGATAGGTACAGCAGCAGGATAGAGGCGGGGCCTGACCTGGAGAGAGGCTCAGCTATACTTCATGCGAGAGCCTGCTTTGGATTAAATTTCTCAATGAAATAAATCACTGGGCAACGCAAGATTATAAAAATAAGAGTTCTGTCCCACACCCCAAACTCACATCTCCCCCTCCCCCACCTTCAAGCCCCAGAAGCATGAATGCCTGTAAACCACACAGCCTTGGGGGAAATCGACCCAAATGATTCAGTTGGATCCTCTGACCCAGGTATTTTAAGCATGAGGGGAGCCAGGAGGGGAGGCAGATGCCCAACTAGCCCAGCCTGTAACTGTGGGCTGGTAGTTCTTGGATCGGCTGCACCAGGATCCAGAGGCCTAGAGAAAAGGTTAAGAAGCAGGCCTATTCCGGGGCCTCACCCCCTGAAAGATCAGCAGCTGGGTGGGAGGTGGGGGAAGAATCGGAGGATCTGCATTGTAACGGACTCCCCAAGGGTCTGCAAATCCAGGGAATCCAAAGCTCCTCTTTCAGGGCATAGACTAGGCCACCCTGAGCCTGAGCCAAGTCCACTCTGGCCCTCCCCCTCCCTCCGCTTTACCTGGTCGGAGGGGGCTCTGCATGCAGCTCGGAGAAGGAAGGCCTGGGTGCATGGGTGCTGAGGCCCGGCTGCTGAGGTCCATGACGGAAGGGGCAGCAGATGCAGTGGCGGGTTGCAGCCCGGGCGGGTGAGGGCTGTGGTCGTGCTGAGCGGGGCTCGGGGGGATGCCATTTTCGGACAGAAACTCCTCCAGGTCCATGTATTCCAACTGGAAAGTGTCTCCGTCATAGGGCAGGGTTTTGTCCCATAAGGTGGGCCCCAGGAACGCCGACTGGGGGACCGTCGGGCTGTTACTGTCATCGTCCAGCTTCTTCTCCTTGTCTTTAGCTTTACCAAATGCTGCCAGAGAAGAGGAAAGTGGGACTTAAAAAAGTAAAGAAAGAAAAGAAAAAAGGGTGGCCCCGGATGCCCCTCTTGGCCTCTGCTACCTAAATTGCCTGGAAACGTTCTCTCCTCTCCTCAGGGACACTGGCCCTGGGGCGACTACTGTCCTCTGTGGGGTTGGAGGCAGGACAAGGATCTCCGCCTGGTTTCCAACAGCCTCCGATTTACTTTGGAGAGAGAGTACTAGTCCTAGCGTAGTGCTGTGGCCCGCCGGAGGGTAAAGACAACAGAACCCAGCTCCCAGCAGCAGCTTCCAGAGCCTTCTCTGATGAGGTAAAGAAGTTCAGTCCCAAGGGGGGAGACGACGCACCACCTACGCTACACACAACCACTGGGGCTGTGAAAACAGCCAGCAGCCAGGCATGCACGGTCTTCTGGGTCCTGTGGACCACAGAGCCAGTGTGCAGGTGATTTCAATCCTGGTCAAGCAGGGGCTTTACGGCTTTCCTTTACACAAAACCACTGACGAAATGGAGGCTCGGAAACGGGCAGGAGCTTGACCCATGTCAAGCAATGAGAATTGAGAACCTTCTGCCCGCCTCACCTCCCCCGCTTGTGCCTCCAGCCATTGTTTCACCCAAACGCAGCTAAAAAAATAATAATGCAAAATACCTGCTTAATTTTTTCTCCTCCTACCCCAAGCACTTCAGGGTGATCCCCTGAGAAGTGTCGGCAATCTGCCCATTGCACAGCTCTGGCAAGAGGAGAGAGGCTCGCCCTAATAATTCTCTACAGATGGAGGGATACGGGGGTTTCCTACCTGGAAATAGCGGTCCCCTGGTTAGTTCTATAAGGGAAGTTCTGGATTTGAACCGTTCTACTCAGGCGCCATCGGTGTAATCTGGGATTAAAGAGTTCTGATTTTTTTCGTCCTGGAAGCAGTCTCCAACGCCATCCATCCCAATCCTCTCTAAGGTCTCATCTCCCGAGAATCTGATTTTAAACACCCACAGATGCAAAAAGGCAGCAGGCGGCCCCTACCTCCCAAGGTCCTTATCCAGTAAAGGAGCGTTTCAGGCAGGCAGGCTGAGCTCTGCAGACTGCAACCCCAAACCAAACCTCGCAGCTCCCACAAAGCAACAGGTTGGCTCTAGGAAAGGAGATGCAAGTACTTGGAAGCGTTTTTTTTTGTTTTTGTTTTTTTCGGTGGCCAAATAATCTTTCAAGATTTTACACTCCGGCGAGCCGCGTAGTTCATGTTTTCTGCGGTGATCCCGAAAGCACGAACCTGCATCAGCCCCAAAGATCCACTTGAGCCGAGCCGGCACCGGCGAGACTCCCCTCCCCTCTGCTCCCGCTTGAGTCGAGGTGGCTGCGGGGAAGGTTTGGGACTTACCGAGCAAGGGCTCCGGCCAGAGGTGGCTCCGGCGCGATGACACGTGAGCCGGCTCGGTTCACCCCTCCCACCAGGACAAGTGACCCGGGGAAAGTGTCAGAGCAGGACGCCTGCCAGGCTCCCGGCCGAGACCCCCAAGGCCCGCACCAGCCCCAGCCCCCCAACCCCTGCTGAAACGCCCTCCTAGGGAATTCACACCTCCCGGGCTCCGAGGATTAGAAGCGATCACAGGACATCAACACTCAAACGACGCTGCGAGACCCACCCCCCTCGAGCCACCCATCCAGGCCACCCCCGCGGGGTCGCCCCCGCCCGCCGAGCCCCGCTCCCACGCCGGCGGGCTTCGTGCAGGGAGCCTGGTAGGGGACAGTCCTGACCTGCCAAGTTACACCTGCCACCTGCGCCGCAGCAGCGGGACCGCGGAGGCTGGCAGCAGCGCTAGCTCAGTGTTGCTGAGTGAGGGGTTCGCCGGGGCCGGCCAGAGGGGTCCGGAGCGTCGCCCCTTCCCAGAGCGGGGCCCGCGGCTGCGCTCACCGTCCTCCTGATGTAGGGGGGGCTTCAGCGGGTTCTCCAGCAGAGACCTGAGCACGCCGTAGGGAGGCGGGATAAAGGTGGGATTCAGGGGGAGCGGTCGGGACATTTTCTCCATCGCGGTGAGCTCAGTTTGTTTCTCGGGTAAAACAAGAAAAAAGAAAACCGACAACCGACCCCCAAATGTTGCTGAGCGGTTTCCTCCGTGTTTTGCCCAAAGTACACGCTTTCCAGGCGGTGGAGACCAGAGGGGGAGGGCAATGACTGATAGCGTTATAAATACATCTGCATGAAAAGGTAAAAGAAAAAACTTTCGGGTTCCCGATGCAGACGGTCCCCGGAGAGCGCGGCGACCGGCAGGATGCCGCTACCTGCCCTCCAGCCCCTCGGCTCGCAAAACGTTCCCAACCGTGGAGAAAAGCAAGACCGGAGCGCGGACCGACGGCTGCAGCCGGGCAGCAGGCAGCGCACCGGCCCGGCCCCGC